ATTTTTCTGCAGTGCCAGTGATGGGCAAAGGATCTTGCTCAGTGCTGTGGAGAGTATAAAATGAGAGCTGGATCTCTTTCCTCCATTAGGTGTAGTGTCATTGTCATTTAAATCAATCCCTCAAGGAGTTTATAATCTAGTGGGGTCCACTAGAAACGTCTTCAGGTATTGTCATGAAGGACAAGATTAAATCTGTGCCAGCCCAAAGAATAGAATTAGAAGTAATGATTAGAAGTTATGGGAAGGCCAATTTCACTGCAATCCAAGGAAAAAGCTTAAAATGATGATATAGCTATTTATAAGAATGAAATAAGCCACATTGGGAGATAAGTGATCCATTCATGCTTCTTGCAAACACTCAGGAGGCATCCATGTTAGGGGGCTGTCCAACTCTGAGGCCTACCATGAATTTGAGTCATCCTAGACTAGAACAAAGGACTGAGCAGATGCCTTCTTAAGCTTCAAAGGCTAAGCTGAGGTGTGAGTATATATAAACCAAGGGTCTGTGGCCTGAGGGTTCCCAGTGTACCGAGATTTCTGTTTTATATTCAAATAGCATGTCTTGGCCGGGCGCCGTGCCTCATGCCTGTAATCCCAACATTTTGGGAGGCCGAGGTGGATGGATCACCTGAAGTCGGGTGTTCGAGACCAGCCTGACCAACATGGAGAAAGCCCGTCTCTACTAAAAATACAAAATTAGCTGGGCATGGTGGTGCTGCCTGTAATCCCAGCTACTTAGGAGGCTAAGGAAGGAGAATGGCTTGAACCTGGGAGGCAGAGGCTGTGGTGATCCGAGATCACACCATTGTACTCCAGTCTGAGCAACAAAGAGAAACTCTGTCTCAAATAAATAAATAAATAAATAAATAAATAAATAAATAAATAAATAAATAAAATAGCATGTCTTGGACCCCATCCACTTACTGTGGAACCCTGATTATTTTGAAGATTCTCTGGGCACCTACATTTCTCTCTGTCACCTCTTCCTCCATTTTACCAGCACCACAGACTCCTGGGTTGTGGCCCCATGGCTCAATGGCTCTCTGTCGGCACTAGTATACCACTTCACCGTAAGCTAGCCAAGCACTCTTTACTTTACTCTCCCCAGAGAGTCACTAACTCAAGGCTAGTGTGTGTAGCCAATATTTACTGAATGGCTGAGGGCATGGAACGAGATTACAGGGCAGCCCAGGGGAGACAATGGCATAACCTTGAAATATTAGACATTACTGTGCTAATGAAGCCATGTATTAAAAAAAAATTTTCCTCCCAGGTCTTTTCCATTCTCCACCCATCACTATCCTGCTATGACTCCAGGTACCTCGCTGCCCTTTATATGCTCTTCCTGGGCTCCGGAGTCCTTTCAGCTTTGTGTCTCTTAGGCCCACACAAACAGAAGGCTTTACTTTATTTTATCATGCTAAGCAGTTCAGTTCCTGCCTGCCTTTGCTCATCCAGGGTTGTCTGGGGTTCTAGGCTTTGTCACCCAAAGATCCCTGAAGACATTTTCTTAAATCAGCTGCCGAGAGATGCCACTCCTGTCTAAGAAGTATCAGTTTTGATTTCACTTTTCCAAATCAGGAAGAAGCCTACTTCCCAATTAAGCCCAAAAGCCTTTTCCATTGCATCTGAAGGAAGTGACTCATTCCATGATGGGCTCCAAGAGCACAGGTACTAGGAAGTACACCTTTGTATGCATCCCTATTTGTTTGTCTCTCCATCTTTCCAACATGCATGCATCTTTCTCCTTAGCACAAAGTCCGGCTCTGGGACTAAAACTCATAAATAATATGTTTTCATTTATTAGCTAAGGAGGGAAGAGAATGTTCTCATTACAGAAGTCAAAGCCCAGAAAAATACGGAATTCTCGCAGCCCTGGCGACTGTGAGAATTTTCTTTTGGAGGGTGGTGTTGTGTTCTTTTTCCATACCTTCTCATTTTTGGTTCTCCACACTGCAAGCCATTTAGTTAGATCAACCAAAGTCAATGAGAGAGGGAGGCCCAAGTACCCTGAGGGTGGAGTTGGGTAACCATCCAGCCCTGAAAGTAAACCCAGGCCCTCCAGCTCAAGGTCTAAAGGAAATCAGGCAATGAGACCAACCGTAAGAAGTGGAATTTGTTCCTCATTTTTATTTGTTTTTGTAGGACTCTGCAGCTGAGTTTATCTGCTGCAGTTTGGCACTTCTTGCCCTGAGCTTTTTGAGACAAAGATTGCGAAGGAAGGAGATGAGGACAAGGGAATGAGGAGGTCCAGGAGGTGGAGCCAAAGGGATAAGAAAAAGAGGCCCCAGGCCCCTGCATGTTTTATCAGCCAAACAGGAATGCTGCTGTAGACATACATCTGCAAAGGTGGTGCCAGCTGGGTTGGGTCTAAGTGGGGAGCACTGGGGACCACTGAATTAGTCAGAGGTTCCCCAAGGCTGCTCCTCCTCGGTCGCCATATGGCAGAGATTCAAAGGGTGGAGTCCTCTCCCCTCTGGAAAATAGCTGATAAAATTCTTTTCCCTTTTATTTTTCCCCTCTTACATGTAGCCCTAGACAGGATATGGGTGTGGGGGTCAGCAGGCACGAAGGACCCAAAGGAAGAAGAGGAATGCAATGGGGAGGGCCTGGGGGTGTTGTCAGAGTGAGGAGAGGGACAGGCCTTGGAAAGCTTGGAGGAAATAGATACCCTGAGCCTGACAAAGGGGTTCCCTAATTACCTGAAAGGCTTCCTGTTCCAGCCAGTACTCTGTCAGTGCTGCCTGGTGGCCCCTGAGTCCCCCACCCCGATTCTGCTCTGTGATCTACCCCACTTCCAACAAAGACAGCCCACTGCTGGTTAGTTGCAGTGCCTGTGCCCATGCCACCTTCTCAAAGGGACAGAAAAAAGAACTTTCCAGAACAAGCTATTTGTTGGGGTAAATGATGAGAAAACAAACCACAGAAATCCCCTCCACCCTAAATTTTACAATAATAATAGCATTTCTGCAACGGCCCTATGGTAGCATTTCAAGGCACACTCAGTTATCTCATTTATCCCACAATGTATCCCAGGACAGAAAATGACTCCTAGTATTAACAAAACAAAACAAATCCAAGCAAAAACCCTAGAAAGCTCTTGGGAAGGGCATAAAACTACAATTGGCTCAAGTAGTCTGGCAAGGCTGGGAATGGGGCCTTGTGCCCCATCCCTCCCCACCCAAAGCTGGGATATAGAATTCTCAGCATAACAGTCCAAAGCTTTGCAGAGGTTGTGTTGCTCCCCAAACCCCAAGCTCGGCAGACCAAGGCGAGACTGACACCCACCAGCTTAGGAAATAAGGAAAGGGTGGACCTCATTCGGCTGAGGACCAGGTCATCATGAGCTGTGTAGCCAAAGGAGAATGGAGCATCTGATTGGAATCTGCACCACTGGCCAACTCACCCCTATTATTTTGCTTTTGTTTTTGTTTTGAGACGGAGTCTCGCTCTGTCTCCCAGGCTGGAGTGTAGTGCCAGGATCTTGGCTCCCTGCAACCTCCACCTCCTGGGTTCAAGGGATTCTCCTGCCTCAGCCTCCTGAGTAGCTGGGACTATAGGTGTGCGCCACCATGCCCAGCTAATTTTTGTATTTTTAGTAGAGATGGGGTTTCACCATGTTGGCCAGGATGGTCTCAATCTCTTGACCTCATGATCCACCCGCCTCGGCATCCCCAAGTGTGGGGATTACAGGCATGAGCCACTGCGCCCGGCCAACTCACCCCTGTTATGAGGGCCTAGTCTAGCACCCACTCTAGGGTTTTGAAACCTCAGTGATAGCTTTTCCTTGCTCCGAAGCACATGCCCAGGACTGCCAAACAGGGCAACTCAAAACTTCACTCCAAGCTTCCTCCAGCCCAGGGGCAGCTCTCCCCAGCTGGGCGGACCCAAAGGGGGACAGCAGAAGAGACTGGGAGCAAAGAGGTCTAGTCCAGGTCACTCTGCAGGGCCATAGTGGGTGGCCTTTAGGATGTAGTGAGAGTACAGAATTGGGAGCCCTGGAGTGCTGTAAGCAAAAGGGAGAGCAATGTACAAAGCTTCGAAAGTTTCAAACCTTCCAAGTGCAAAGAGATGAGGTGGAGAATGTCATTCCCCAAGGAAATTAATCGAGTATAAATACGTATACTCGAAGCCTTTTTTTTTTTTTTCCCAAAGTGAGAGCAAGACCTTAAGAGTAAGGGTATGTGTAGGTGAGTGGGGAGAGTGTTCTAACCCATCTACTAGCTTTAGAACTTGGAGCGGGGGTAGAGGAAGAAAACTCCAAAAGCTAACAAGTTTTGAGTTTGTGCAAGGCTGACGGTTTTTGGTAAGGCGAGCGAGGCTGGGTGCAGAGCAAATTCTGTCTACTTCTACCTCCGCGGTGGGGTTGCTGAAGTGGGAATTGAAACTCAGCTTCCTAATCTTAAATGCAAGGATTTTGTTTGGTCGGTTGGTTTTGTTTTTCCTTTTCACGGACTGTTCATTCCGAACTCCCCTGGCCTGGAACCTGGAGCCTCATCCCTGATTCGCTTCCCTCGAATTCCTCAATGTCCACTTCTGGCTCTCCCAGTCCCGGTGCAAGTTGGGCACCCCGGCCCCTTCCCATCTATCAGCTGGGATCTATACTTTCCGAATCAACCAAGAGCCACAAAACTTTTCCTGCTTCTCTCCTCCCCAGTCTCCCGGTTCTGGCTGCAACTTCGCACTCCGCACCTCTGGCAACCGGAAGAGACCCTGGCATCTCCAAAGCACTTTATCTCAGTCCAAGAGCCAGTCGTGCTGACCGATTCGCACCTCGGCTAACGCATACCCGCGGGGTGGTGGCCTTCCCTTCCCCTCCCACCCCCGTCGGCTCCCAGTTGAGGCGCTGGCCCCAGGGGAAGCCGCAGTGGGCGGCAGTGCAGGGATTGGGCAGGGGTCCCTTCTCTCGGTGAGACTCTGCTCTGTCGTTCAGCCTCCCAGAGAGACTCGACCCTCCCCGCGGCGAAGCCAAGCGGCCGCGGCGCGCGGGCGGTACTCACGCAGCAAACTCAGCAAGCAAAGCGCGGTCCAGCCCCGCGGCATCCCAGGCCCCGCACGCGCTCCCCTGCGGACCAGCATCCTTCCCGCGCCGCTCCTAGAGAGACGCACGGAGTGGAAGACACTCCTTGGCTTGGCCAGGACGCGCTCTTCCCGCCCCCTCCGCCCGGGAGAGGGGTGGGGGATTCTTGCTTTTTCCCTCTCTTCTCCCCTCCCTCTTTAGTCTTGGCAAGGCAGCGCCTCTCCTTGGCTGCTACTAACTTGAGCTCCCCTGGTTGGTCCCAAAGGCGGAGGGCGTTAGGAGGGAGGCTGGGTTGCCGCCGTCGAGGCCAAAAAAGGTGGAGGTTTGTTCGGGCTCCAGATGCCTCGTTCAGCTTTCTGGAGAGGCCCCATCCCACTTCTTCAAGCTCCGCTTCCACTTAACTTTTAACCCCTTTGTGGCTGGTGGCCAGGGCAGGGGCAAGTTTCCTCCGATTTTTTCCCCCCTTTTCTTTCCTTTTGATTTTCCTTTATTTTTAAGTTGTAAGCTAGTAACAATCTTGCAAAAGGAATCTACTGTAAGGACCTCAGTTTAGAAGTGTGAGCATTTCGTTAATCAGGTAAAACTTAACCACAATGTGACACATTTAGTGATAGCCTCACAAGATCCTGTGCTGTGTTGTGAGTGAAGTATCAGGAGTGAGCAGGTATACGTGACTGTAAGTATTCATTTTAGCTGTCCAAACCATTCTTGGAGGTTCTTTCTTTCTTTCTTTCTTTCTTTCTTTCTTTCTTTCTTTCTTTCTTTCTTTCTTTCTTTCTTTCTTTCTTTTTCCTGCAAACCTTTTTGTGTTAACTTTTTGTTAACTTGTGTTAACTTTTCCTGTGACCTTCCATAGTTCCCTACCACCATCATCCTAAAGAAAAAGGACTTCCCTGGTTGCCTTCTCCCCGGTTATCCCCTCTCCAGCCCCGGGTCTAAGCCACTAGGGATTTCACCTTGCTGTCCCATCAGAAAAAGGACTTTCTGTGACTCCATCCTCCACCACTTGATAGATCCTTGAGCTTCCTGTTCCTCACCAGTTCTTCTGGGTGTTGGTGAACTGAATAGAAGAAACTGAGCGGGGTAGGCAGCCTAGTCTTGAATTGGGGATGCAGAGATCGGAGAAGAGAGAAGCCAGCCTGGGCAGATGATGGCACCAGGTGGGGGATCAGATAAGGCATAACCTGGGAGAGGCTGCTCTGATATCCAGAGTGGAATCGTGAAATTATACTCAGTTCAGCCTCTTCCATGAAGTCGGTGCCACATAGCCTAAAGGGAAAAAAGAGAAGCCAGACCAGCACTCTGTGGTCATTTCTGATTTCTCTGCAGACACTCTAGCATTATAAAAGTAGGTTTACCTTTATGGTCCATCTCAAACCTACTATGCATTGGGGTTGCACCGGAGAAGGATCTAGGTCTAAAAACAAAACCAAAATCTCCTTATTCTGGTCTTGTTGCCTAGTATTCCTTTAAACAGGGAACAAAGTCTTTCATCACACAATCAGAGCAAAGGCCTGATATGCTAATTTGATTGAATATAACAGAATGGTATGAATCTGTTTCAAAGTGCAAATGGTGATTCAGAACTGATCACATAGTGATGTCAAGGGCCCGAGGACAGAAAGAGCGGCATACACGCATTTTAAAATCAGGCATCGGTCCTTGAGACTCCCAATTAACAGGGAAAAGGAGTTAGCTGCAACACTGCCAGGCCCCCCACTCCCCTCAACTTCCTCAGTTCCAGGGGCCTCTGGGTCTGCTTCAGGCACCCAGTGTGCGGTTGTGAACAAATGTGGAGTTGTAATCCCTGCTAGATATGAAAGCTAATTTGGTCCACTTTAACTTCCATTTCCAGATTTTTTTCCTGGTTACTTTAAATACTATTTGTCTCCCATAGCTGAACCACGGGAAACAGGGGAAGTAACTTGTCTTTCTTTAGTATCTGAACTTCTTAACTAGCTTTGGGAGCAAAGAGAGAGAGAATGATTCTATGGAGCAGAGTTTTCTCAAAGCATGGTCTACACAGAATCAATGGTGAGGGTCAGAATCTGTACTTTGAATAAGTATTCTCCATGACTTATGCACACTGAGGTTCAAGAAGCCCTGGTATAGAAAGAACCCATGCTGGGTACAAGGAGCAAGGGCGAAGTGGATGTCAGGCTTCAGGGAGGAAAAATAGAAGTAGAGGATATGGGAGGCTGGTAAATCCCTTCCTCTGAGAGACCAGGGCTGTTTCTTCTCTGGCTTGCAAGGCTATGGATAGCCCCAGAACCACAAAGCTAGACAATGATTGGCCACTCTTCATATTTTCCAGGGTCACTGAGACTCATCACCCCAAACACACACACCCTTGCCCCAGCCACCCCCAAACACAGGTTCTGGCCACTGGACACAAGGGCACCAAGGGACCCCAGCCTTACATTTCCTCACAGGCCAGATAGAGTTGAACTGTGTAGTCCCTTCAAAGTTCTAGCCTTTCTGGGCTGCTCCTCAATTCTCTGCTCTCCTGCTTCATAAGCTGTTGCTAAAAAATGTTAGCTACACTGCACAAAGTGGAGGATACAACAGAAATACACTGAATGAGAGACTGTCTCAGGCCCTTTATAGACCCTTGGAGGTCATGACCACTTTTACTATTAAACATCCCCTACCTCACCCCTCCCCAAAATACACACGTATCATGTCAATCAACCTAAAAGAGGCCCTCATCCTATGTCAAATATAATGTCTTTCATGTTAAAAAAGTAAGGAAAATGGCTGTTATAATTCTGAATTTTAAAATATATTCATTTTGTTCGTATAATTCAAACTTTATTAGATTTACATGAAACTATTAAAGAGTTGAATTGCAGTTTACAAGTTGACTGAGTTGACGTTTTGTAGGCATTTAATGAAAAATTTGTGAACTTTGATTTTCCAGTTTTATATTTTGGAACCAAAACTTTTTTCCCACATTGCAAACTTTTTTTTTTTTTTTTTCCCCAGTTTGGCAGGGAGAGATCCTTGGCTGTAGAAGTATTCAGCTGTTGGACTGATGCAGTGACAACCTGCGAGTCCCTTTTTTCCTCTTTCCACCTTCTAGTCTCCCTCCAGCGCCTCCTCTTGGCAGAACCTAACCAGAAATCAGCCGACAAAGGAGTCTGGGAACCAGTGTCCTGTGGTAAGTCACCATGATGCAATGTTTGCCTCCATGATAGGCAGCCTATTCCAGAGGCCACAGATCAGGAAGGCTCAGACCAAATTACGATGATCAAATCTCAAGGGTTATGGAATATATCTGAAGCATAGAGCCAGAACCAAGGGGACAGATTTACGGGAGGTTGATACACTTGGGAATGCAAGCAGGGCAAAAGTCCTGCACAGTCTCATAGCCTCAATCATGTGTTTCGCTCTGCAGTGGTATAGTTATGAGGACCAGAACTGAGATTGAGTAAGGGGATCAGCTTGAGGAAGATGCTTGGAACCAAGGTATATTCATTCTATTGAGAGATGTTTAAGGGCAGGTAGGCTTGGCCACAGGTCTTTGTCAGTGTTCTGGGAATCCATCCTTTTTGCCAGCATTTCTTGGGTAGAGCTTATGGGGGGCTGGAAGGTGCCACCAGTAGATAGTCAATTTAGGGATGATACGGACACAAACCCCAAGGTGGCATAATCTATACCTCATGGCCTATGATTTGTTTTTTTCTATCCTTTTCTGCCTGTAAGTAGCACTCTTGTTTGCTCCATCCTTTTGTAGTCTATTCCATTTATTCTGTTTTACATGTCTTGCAGGTTGCTAACTTACTATAGATTGAGAATCCCAAGTCTGAAATTTGAAATGCTCCAAATTCTGAAACTTTTTGAGCACTGACATGACACTCAAAGGAAATGCTCGTTGAGGCATTTTGGATTCCAGATTTCTGGAATGGGGTGCTCAACATATAAATGTAATGCAAGTGTTCCAAAATCCAAAAAGCATCCCAGATAAGGGATACTCATCCTGTATTTTTAGCACATCTTTTGAATTCTGCCTATGTCTCACAAATGACTTGCTTACTTTGTATCTGTAGTTAATACATCTGATGAGTTTCACCTACTTGCTTTTCTTGTCCTCTGTATGAAACTGAATATTCTCACATAATAGAGTAAACACACATTATAGCCAGTATCATAGAGAAAAGTACAGAGGAGTGAGGTTGGGGCTGAGGGAGACAAAATAAATAACTAGCAGAAATCCAGTTTTATATAGTTTTCATACAGATAACCATTTTTCTAGTTGCATTTACTGAGTAGTCTCTTCCTTCCCTGCTGATCTGACATGCTATTTCTGTCGTGTGTCCACATTTCATACATATGTGGGTCTGGCTCTAGGCTCTCTAGCATTGGTCAGTATGGACACCCCAGTGTCTTCGCCATTGCCTTATTTACTGTAGCATTGAATAAGTTCAGATATCTGTAGGGCAAGTTTTCCTCTCCCAAATTGTCTTCAGAAATGCCCTGACTATTCTTGGCTCTTTGTTCTTCCAAATAATAATAACATATAATTTTATAAATGCTTATCAGATTTCTTCCAAAACAACGATACGGATTTTGATCAGAATTGCTCCATAGATTAACCTGTGGAGAACGGAATCTTTCCTTCAGCGAACTTGATATATATCTCCATTGTTTGAGTCTTCATTAAAGTTTGTAATTTTCCCTGTAATGGTTTTAATTCATTTATTGTTAAATGATAAATTCATTTAATTTATTGCTAGATTTATTCCTAGGTAATTTATGTCCTCTAAGACTATGGCAAATACTATCTTCTTTTTAATTATTTTTGTTTCTGGTGTATGAAATTATAATTTATTGTTTATATTAATCTTTTATTGAGCTACCTTATTAAATTCTCTTATTATATTGAAGTATTTATAGATTCTTTTGGGTTTTATATGTAAATGATCATATCATAAGCAAATAGTGATGATTTTATGTTTCCTTCCCAATCCTTCTGCGATTGATTTGTTTTACTTAAGTTAATATACTGGCAAGAACATCTAAGGATAAAAAGGAGTGGTGATCATGCACATTCTCGCCTCATTCCAGATTTTGAAGCACAAACTTCTTATATTTCCACATTTGCTTAATTTTTTAAATGTACTTTTTATTTATTTACCTATCACTTTTAAATTATTATTTTATCTTAGAGACAGGGTCTCGCTCTATTGTCTGGGTTGGTCTCGAACTCCTGGCCTCATGTGATCCTCCCACCTTGGCTTCCTAAAGTGCTGGTATTACAGGAATGAGTTGCTGCAATCGGCCTACATGTGCTTTTTGTCATGTTAATTTTATTCTCTTCTATTCCTATTTTACTAAAATATTTTTTCTTTAGTAATGAACTAATGATTTTTTTCAAATGC